CCTTTCCCCTTCTTTCTCTCAGCTCAAACCCCCACAGGACCGCATTAAAGCCCGGAGCACTCGGAGCCGGGCACAGCGCTCCTTCCACGCTCATTAATTAATTACCTGCAGGACCCAGGTCACCCCTCGCGGCGGTAATTCAGCCGCCTGGCGTGCAGCCAGCTGCAGCAGCCGCATCGATCCCCAGCGACCACAACAACCCCCGCCGCCCCCCCCCCTCAACCCCTCCCCCCCCCCCCCAATCACACACACACACAAGCTCTGCTATTTACAATCCTGCACTCTGACAGTTGGGAAATCAGATTGATGGACAGCGGGACGCCGCCGGTTGAGGTTCCAGGCGGGCTGGAGGGAAAAGAGGTTGAGGAGAAGGGGAGGCGGGGGGGGGGGGGGGGGGGGGGGAACGAATAAAAAAAAAAAAAAAAAAAAACAACCCTAAATTATTAACGTTTTTTAAATTATTAATGGTATCGGTGCCTCCGTGCGAGCCGGCGGATAAACTGCGCTTTGTAGGGGCAGTAATAATTGATAGCTGCGGTGTGGAGCCCATCCAAAACGCACCGAGTTCTGTCTCTGCTCCCCAACGCTCAGGGTGACCCTTCCGCCAAGGAGAAAACTGCCTCACAACCATTATATATATATACATACATTGGGCTTTTAAGGTAATGAGCTCCTTCAGTGGGGGGTGGCACTGGGGGGGGTTCTGCCCCACGGAGCTCCGCAGCTCTGCCATGGTGTGGGAACACTGATGAGCCAATTCTGACACTCCAGCAACAGGAATCGCCTTCTTGCCCCCAGAGAAGCCAATCAAATCAAACAGAGTGGAAAAGAAGACAGCCTCTTCATTAACCTAACAAGGAGCCCTGGGGATTTGCGCTCCCAGACTGGAGATTCTCCTCCAGCTCCTGCTGGATGGATGGATGGATGGATGGATGGATGGATGGATGGATGGAATGCTTCGCGGGTGCTGCTCGTGCTCCTTCCCCTCAGCCCTGGCTGGGAAGCAGCAAAGGGGCTGTGGGTTCTGCACAGCACCACTCATCAGCAGTGCTCCTGCTCTCTGCTCCCAGGCTGGAGCCATGCTGTCACCTCCTGCCTCTCCTGCACTGCCAGATGCAGGCAGCTGGGTCCCACCCATCCTCCCCGCAGCACAGGAGCCTGCAGCTTGCTTGCGTGGGGATGCTGAGCATCCCAAGGACGATGAGCTCCTGAGGATGCTGAGTCCTCCCCAGGGTGGAACCTCCATCTGCCTGGTGCCCCCTTTAGGCACAGCACAGCATCGTGCAGCCACGCTGCATTCAGGCAGCTTTGTCCCCATCTGATGGCAAACCCAGCAGTGACCCTTCCTATCATGCAGCACCCAACAGGCACCGCAGGACTCCTCCCACACGACACTGCCCCAGCTCAGGGCACAAAGCAGGGATGGAATAAAGCAGGACCAGGGGTCCCCTGCTGTCCCTAAGCACCCAACTCCACCTCAGAGGAGCAGACCATCCTGGGAAGGCCTGCAGCCAGCTCCTTGGTGCTGGAAGCTGCAACCTACGTGCAACCTGGGAAGCCCCCACTGCTGGGGACCAGAGCGAGACCTGGGGATGCAAACACCACTAAGTTCAAGAGATGACACCATGTAAGAACCCATCCCACCGACTGCAGTATTTCCCTGCATCTCAGCTGCATCTACACGTTTTAATTGTTTGTAAAGCCATAGGACTCCTAACTCTCATTAAGGCAAAAGGCCACCAACACCAATTTTGCCTGCATGCACAAACCTTCTGACCTCACGCTGTCGATGCTTAACGACACCACATCCCAAAGCCCATCAGCAAAGGGCATCCCATGGCACTGCAACCACACGCAGCAGACTGGGAACAGCCCATCTGACAAAACCTGAGCTCCCCACCTCAAACCCAAGCCCTACCTCCGTGGCTGGGCACTGCCATGCTGTTGGCCAGCTGGTAGAGCCGCTGCTGCTGCTGCTCCTCAAACGTGCCGTGCTCATTCAGCGCCGACATCATGCGCCTGTAGTGCTCCTCTGGGGTCATCTGAGTCACTGAGTCCTCCAGCAGAGGCGTGTGGGAGTTTTCTAAAGGACAGAAAGGTTTGGTGTTGGGACAATCTCCCTTTAGCTCTAGCACGTGCAGAACCCAATGAGGTGCCAGCGTGTGCCTACCCACAGCTTGGCCTCCAGCCACGGCCGTGCTCACACACAGCAACACCCACAACTGCTGTAGCACACACAGATGCTGGTCTTTAGCACAGGACACAATCACACAGCTGGAAGGACACCAGCCTAGACGACCACAGAACCGCAGCATCGTTCAGATCCCCACCCCACCTTGCCCACTCTATGCCCCTCACAGTGCCACATCTCAGCACCCCGATGATGGCAACCCCTCCACCCTCCCCGGGCAGCCCATGCCCACACATGGCTGCTTTTGCATCTTCCCCTTTGCCAGCTCTGATCCCCACAGCAGGCAGTGAGGACAGCCAGGCAGTGCAGGAGCACACACAGCACAGTGCTGCGGGTCTGTGCACGCAGCCCCACCGCCCCGAGGCCAACATAATCACACCCAGGCTGGCAACGAGGAGATGAAACCACAGAAGCTCTGTGTTTACTGTAAGCAACGCACAGTGATTACCCTTCTCCCCCTCCGTGGTGGTTTTATCTCGGATCTCCTCCAGGGCCAAACCCTTCCCGTGATGGGGGAACTCCCAGCAGCAAGGTGGGCAGGAGAACCACGGGACCCCCTACAGCGTGTCCCCAGCCCCACACTGTGCCCCCAGTGCCAGGCAGGCACGCTGCCTGATGCCTTCCCTTCACAGCTTGATGATTGTCACCCCCTCCCCCCATGCCCTGCCAGCCCTACACGCTCACATTTCCATATGAGACGCCAGAACGTTCTGCTCTGCTTGACAGCCACTGCTGCACCGCCAGGGCTCCTCCTGAGCATCCCAGGGGAGGGAGGGATGATGCAGGGAGGGCTGCTGCCCTGCTGGGAGCACTCCCAGCCCTACAGGTGCTTTTCCCTGGGCCAGGGAAGGACTGGCCCGCTGGCTCTGGCTCTTTGCTATGACAGGGGGTCACCTTCCCTCTTCCAACAGTTGGGTCCCAAATCCCACATCGGCAGCCCATGGAGTCTGTGGCACAGGATGCAAAGACACTTCAAACCCCTCTTCGGCCCCTTTACGTGGCAGAGAGTGGGCAAATTGAGACTCAGAAAGCATCTCCATCCCTTCTCTTCCCCCCATTCTGAGGCCCAGAACACCTGCCAGGTGCCAAGAATTGCTGGGGAGCCCCCTGTGCTCGAGCACAACACAAACCAGGGAACGTGGGGGCTGCCAGACAGCTCAGCTCAGACTTTCCACCCTGTCTTGCAAAGGGCAGGGAAAGACTTTCTGAGAAAAGAAGTGGGAGTGGAAAGTTTACTTTTATGCCAGGCTTCCTGGGAACCCCTCTCAGAACGAGTGGGGGAATCCCTGCCTGAGTCAACAGGAACATTTGGGTCCTGAGAGCAAAGCCCAGGGCTGTGCTCAGCCCTACAGGGGCAGTGGGAAGGCAGAGGATGGGACAGCACTGCTCCCATGGCAAAACCATCCATCCATTGGGCTCTTCCGAGGAGAATCCCAATGCAACAGCAATAGGGCAGGCGGGTGATGAAAGGAGAAGAAGCCAAGGGCAGCATACAGGGTTCCCCCTTTGCACCTCTCAGTGAAAAGCTAAGGTGCTCCTGGTTGGAACAGAGAGCACAGGGGAGGTGGGACACGTGAAACAAAAGATCTGGCACGCTGCAAGAAGTGACACGAGCATCCCATAACGCGGGGACAGGGAATCACCAGCAGAGAGGGACATTCCATCAAACCAGGCACCATCACCTACAATACATCCAGACACACCAGCACGTCAGGTTTCAGCCTGCAGGACCCCCCCCCCTCCAAGAACACACCTCCAAAGGACCCGGCCCTGACAGCTCTCATTCCTTCCCACAGCCAGGGGACTGCAGATGGGGTGGGCACTGCTGGCAGCTCATTAGGCACAACTTCACAACAAAGCCTGCAAGCCAGCGGCCTGCACGCCCTCCTTTAGGCAACGAGGAGACAAACTCATTAGCTGCAGGCTCCATTACTCTGCTGGCTGTAAAGAAAGTTTTCAAATCGCCTTTGCAGCAAGGAGCCGTGGAACAAATCAGATTTTTAAATCCCCTCTAAAAGAGAAACCTTCTGCAGATCACATGTCTGCAGGAACGCTGCCAGGCGAGCAGCCAGGCAGCCCCATCCTCCCTTTAAGGGAGCAGATGCCAGCACGATAAGCCCCGCCGTATCTTTTATATTAAACACGTAATCAAGGCATTCTGCCTGAAGAGCAGACACCCCTCAAACCCACCGCGAAGCTGCAGCTTGCTCTGCAGACCGCAAAGCCATCCTTCTCATTAAGAGGCAATTCCCCCCCCCTTCGTTGGAAAAAACCCCCCCCCCCCATATCAATTAAGTTAAGAAAGGAGAAGAAAGGGGCGGAGGGAGGTGGCACTTACCCTTTGGGGACTCACTTCGGGCTTTCTTGCTCTCTAACGGGCACTCACTGCTGCTGTTGGGAGAGCATACTCTTCTCTTGCCTAAAATGTCATCTAGGAGAGATGAGAGCTGGGTGTCAGAGGCTGCCCCGTGCAGAAGCAGCTGGGGGGGGGCTCTGCTGCTCTCCAACGCGCGCTCACGTGTACTACAGGCAAAGGAAAACGAAAAACCACCCCCCCCAAAAACCAAACCAAGCCCTAAAGTAAGAAAAATCATCATCCCGAGAGCCGCGCTCTGCTTTCCTAATCACGCAGCCCCAAAGCGCGTAATGACTGCTGGAGCTCTGATCAATGCCACGCTCTCCAGCCATAAATCCCCAACCCGCCTCGTTTCCTTACTGAGTTTCATCGTTTGTTCTGCTGCCTTTTGTCCCCCCGGTGCTTCCACTCCTTTCATGCCCCGATGCAAGAAAAAACAACACGCCAAAAGCACAACAGCTCCGCGACTCTTCCCACCACCACCGTGTCTCTCTCTCTCCCTCTCTCTCTCTTCCCCCTCCTCCCTCCCTCTCTCTCCTCTTCAAAACCTCAAGGTCCTCTGCAATCTTTCCCTTCGGAAACGCTCGAGCCCTTTGCATTAGCGCAGCCCCACGAACCAAATACCCAATACACAATTACAGCATCCCCAAACGGATTCCGAATCGATAGCCTCCCATAATAACGCTGGGGAAACTGAAAGCATGATGTTGCATATGGGCAGGAAGGAAGAGGCTGTTTGTCACTGCGAGCACCAAATCCTCATCTATCAAGGGCTTGTTAAAGATGCAGCATCTTCGGGAGGAGAGCTCACAAACAAGCAGCATCTGAGCCAGCACACAGAGCACCTGCAAGCCAACGCTGCTGCAGCTTGCAGCGTGCACTCGTTAGGGAAGGCTACACAGCCCCACGGTGCTATTTATGAGCAAGCAGATTCCAGGTGACATTGTGAGCCAAGCCAAGTGTCCTTCGTGCTCAGAGTCCCTGGGTGGGCCCAGGTGCTGCTCTGGGGCTGCACTTCCCCTGGCACTGAGCACCACGCTGCAGCTCAGGAGCATCCCCAGCTCTGCACAGCTACAAGTGGCATCTCCTGGCTTCCAGCAGCACAGGCTGCCCCCTGCACCACCCACCTGCTAGCACAGACAGCACCGAGCTGGCAGCAGAGCCCCAATAACTGCCATCAAACAGCAGTAATGGCAGAACAGACGGGAGGATGGAGCCAGCCAGAGTTCACATCCCAGGTGTGGAGCCACGAGTCAGCCCTGGCTGCCTTCCACATCCCATCACTCCTCCTGCCTCAGTTTACCCTTGAAATAACTTCTTCCAGCCTGGCCAGCAGGCAGCAAACCCATGTGGGTTTTTCCTTTCCTTTCTTTTTTCCACTTCTGCCTCCTGCCTTCCACAACAGCCCAATTGGGAAGGATGTTATCAGCAGGACTGAGCTGCTATCAGGGCAGGGTAGGTGACGTTGCACACCCCCATGCAGACTGAGAAATGAAAATGCTTTTTTTTTCTAGTCACCGTGCTCTGACAACAGGATTTGAGAGCCTAAGGCAGCTGGGCAGGCTGGAAGCTCAGCTCTAGGCTTCCCCACAGAGCATCATCAAACCCAACCTCAGGAGATGACAATTCCCAGAACCACACCACGATGCTTTGGCAGCAGCTCCACAGGCTCTGTTCTCTCCAATCCCTCAGCGCAACGTGAATGACAGCCCAGCAGGGACACAGGGGATGTCCTTCCCCACCAGTATCAGAGCCCTGGGCTGCCCCCAGCAGCAGCCATGGGATGAGGGGCAGGGCAGGAGGAGCAGCAAGCCGGTCCCAGCCTTTGCCAGCAGGGATCAATGGAACAAAGGCAGAAAGCAGCGCAAGGTCATGGGAAGAGCGGGCTGTCCTTTAACAGAGGGCAAGGAGAATGGAAATGGGAATGATTGGAGGGCCAGGCAAAGGGGAGCAAAGGGTTTCTGCCACTTAGCAGCAAAACAAAGGCAGCATCCTCTAGCAGCAGGTCAGCTGGATGGCCCTGAAGACATGGCAGCAGCAGGCTTCAACTCTGCACTACTGCACCGCGTTCTCCCCACGCTCCGTTCCCTCTCCACATCCATTTGTTGGCTGTTGTTTGAAGTTAGCTGCAAGCTGTCACTCTCAGACCCGTGTGTCACACAGCACAGACCCGTGTCACTGTCTCAAGCACAAAGCAGCAGGATTCCCAATGCCCAGCACATCCTCCATCCACCCCTAGGTTGGATCCCCCTTCTCAGCTCTCACTGGCCATCTGCCTCTCCTCCCACCATGCAGGCAGCATCCCGCTCCTTCCCACCTCCCCATGCCCAGCCCCAAAACCTGCTCCAGTATTTTCCTTCCCAAGGAAGGAAGCAGGGCTGAACCAACCTCTGGAATGGGGCTGGTTAATAAGGAAGGCACACTGATGTCCCCAGGTCTCCCAGCTCCCTGCAAAATTCCCTTTTACGGCGTGCACCGTGCCATAAAAAGGTGGTAAATATTCATAGTATGGAAAACACTCACAGAGAGGATATACTGCACTTAAGAGAGAGATCTGGATTCATTTTATATGCTGCAGAGAGGCTGTTTAGCAATTGCAAACTTGTGAATCCCCCCTTTGCTTTTTGGAAGAGATGCATGGAAGGAGGCAGGGCTGGAGGTCCGGGCGTGCTGGGGACCTGCTGGCTTCACAGTGCTGTGCCCTCAGCACCATTTAAATGTCCAATTGCTCTCATCCAACCCCTGCAAAGCCCCGCGCCGCTGCAGCCCGTGACAGCTCTGACAGCCAGACTCCTTAATTCCTTTTTCTTATTCCCTTAATCTGTCATCTTTATCAGGCTGAGGAAGTGCCAGGCAGCGTGCAGGAGCCCCGGCCCCGATCAATCTCCACATTACAGCTGACAGAATGGTGCTAATAACTTATTGATCCTATGTTTGCCAAGCCCCACTGGGGTGGGAAGGTTTCCATTGATTGGCTCCAAGGAAGGGGCTCTCAGCTGCCAGGGGGGGGAAAGCCATCCAACTGCCCTCTGCAGAGGAGCCCAGGGATGGAGGGAGGCTGGGAAGGGCCAACAGGAGGACAAGGGAGTGGATTTGATGCGTAGGAACCGACCCATCCCTATGCACATCCATAGCAGCAGGGAGATGCCACCGTGCTGACAGTTTGTTTTCAGCTGCCTGTGAGACACCTGGGAGCGGAGGTGGAAGCAGAGGAGGTTATTTTTGGAAGGAGGATCATCTGGCTCTTCCCAGAGCTGCAAGGAAAGGGAGGAAAAGTTGCTGATTATATACAGCTGTTTGGGCTGCTGTGGGGAAGCCTCTCGCTGTGACCCTGCGTCAAGGTGCTCCTGCCCAAAGCTATGCTGCAGCTGCACCTGCAGGGCACAGCAAAAGGCAACGCCAAGCATTTCCACACCAGGTTTTGCCATTTTTGCTTCATCTCCCAGGACCTTCACCTCCAAAGGATGCTGGGTGCCTCCTGCTGGGCTTCAGAAGAAATAAACAGGAACCTGAAGAAAGCACAAAGGGCAGACAAGCCTCCAGACAGGGACAGCACAGACCCTCCCACTGCCTAGGTGAGCAGCGGGCCTTCCTGCAAGCCAAGGTGCCCGGGCATCCAGCTCCCAGCTGTCCATGTGGTGATGATTTTCTGCTCAATTTAAGGCAACAATTCAATAGAGGCAGCTCGGCTGTTGTTGTTTTGCTTTGTTAAATGAAAACACGGCTGCATCCCAGCTCATTATGACACGCAGCCTCTGGGATGCTGTCTCTTACCATTAGCCACAACATCCCCGGGCCCAACCCTTCCTCTCTCCTCCCCTGCAGATGAAAGCTCCAGGTTGGTGCCTTAAAGCAGCCCCAAGGAAGGGGAGGCAGGCGGCTACACCAGCCACAAGTCCTCAAAGCCCCCAGACCCATTTTTAAATGCTAATCTGCTTCCATTCCCTCCCCAAACTTCTCCTCCTTCGCCCCCCTGGCAGAGCATTGAGTGGAAAGGTGTGACAGGAGTGTTAAAACAGAGGAACGAATAACCTTGGGGTGAGAAGAGAGAGAACCACAGAACACCCAGAGTTGGAAGGGACCCATTGCAGGGTGCTTCTCTCCATTAAGACCCCCTTCCGAGGTACTTTTCCTTTCCTCTTCCATTTGGCATATTACATCCTGCCATTCAGCGAGCACCAGAAGGGAAGGACAGAGCAGAAAACCCACAGGGACAAGAGAGGGGAGAGCATCCCCCTATCTCCAGTGAGCCTGGGGGCTGTAGGTATCACCCAATCATCACAGCTCACCTCCAGGTTTCTCCACCCAGGACCAGCCTTACTTCCAGCATCTCTGCTAGAGAGCTTCAATTTTCAATGATGATCATCTATTTGTTTTTAAAATAAGAGTCAGTTTCAGGGCAGAGCAGGAGGAGATGGATGGGAGCCCAATGCAGACGCAACCCTGATGTCCAAAGAGGAGCTGGGTATCATTTTAATCAAAGGGGAGCAGCAGAGAAGAGAGCTAAATTCCCTTGCTCTACATCCCCAATCTGCACAGAGTCTAGCAAAGAAGCCAGGAAAGATGAGGCAGGAAGCAGAGCTATGCCTGCCCTACTGCTGATCTGCCTCTCCATGCCCTGCTGTTCTCATGCACTTCAGAGCAGCACAAGGTGTGCACCAGCAGCACAACCATCACCTGTCCCCCGTGAGCCTTGCAGAGCAGCAAGAGCACCCTTCTCATTTCTGACTATAAATGCATTTCCCAGGCCCTGCAGCTCTCAGCTCTGCTGATCCAGACTTCTGCAGATGCTCGAGCCCTACCCTGCAGAGCCCAGAACTAACACATGCCATTCGTTCCCAGCAGTTTCAGTCCCTTTCTACATTGCAAAGAGCATTCAAGACCCAGCAGTAATTCTGCTTTCCCAGTCCACGCTGTTCAGAACTGCAGCCCTGCCTCTAATCATGGTCTCAACCATAAATCAAGCAGCTCTCACAGAATTCATCATAAACCAACCAACCCTGCCGACTTCGATCCTCTTCTTGGCCCCACGGGCCCTACAATAAACAAACCTCTGTTTGCACTGCCCTCTGCTCAGCCCAAGAGCCAAGTGCACCCACATTAGGCTCCTCACCCTGCCCTACAAGCACACCAGGAATGATGTGAGCATCAGTTCCAGCTCACATTGCTGTCCTCGTTGCCTCAGCTGTGCATTTCTTCCTTCTCCTGCAATGGGAGAACCTCACACAACAGTTCCAGCAGGTACAAATGAGGACCTCTGCCTCTCATCTTTGCTGCTGCTTAGCGAGAAGTACGCTTTGCATTTCTGGCATGTTAAGGATCTCAGAATTTCAGCAGCACTGATAAGGGCCAGCCGTGTCCCTGTGAAGCAAACAACATTAAAGACCATTCTAACACACGAGGTCAGCCGAGACACCCAGACACGAGGCAGGTCACAAGGAACAACTTATCTCCCCGGCCAGTTTGCCTCTCAGAGCTGTGTAATGAAGGAGAAAAGGAGATTCAGCCGTGCCAGCAAGGAGGGGGAGCTGCTGGGGCTGCTCTACAGACAGCACAACCCCCCTGCAGCCCCAGCCAGGAGGGAGCCTCATGCAGGAGGAGAAGCAGGGAAGCCTCTGATTAATGAAATTACAAATCAAGCCACGCTCTCTGCAAGGCCTTTCTGCTTCACTTGATGCTAGCCCCGGGGATGTTGCACTTTGCTGGCACGGGCTGATTTGCAGTAGTTTAACACAGACCACTGGACGTGAGGATAACGCAGGGCTGAGATCTCAAAACACTGCAGCACTTCACATCTCTGAGAATTCCCTTCCACGTTCACTGCCACCCAGAACACCACAAAACCTCGCATGGCTCGCTCAGAACAACAAAGAGCAGCAGGAGAACAGAACAGAGCCGTCCCAAGGAACGCACAAATCTGGGGCTGAAGGAACAGGACCGGCTCCGGCCGCTTACCTGCAGCTCCCAAGCCAACATCCACGCTGTTCCTCTTGAATTCACAGCGGCTCTGGGTCTCTGGCATAACGAGCTGGCGGCTCTGATGCAGGTTGGAGATGATAGTGGAGAGGTCGTTATCACGGCTGCAACAGAGCAGAAAAGCACCAAGTTAAGGAAATCCTATTTGCCGCCACGTAATTGATTTTCGCGTACGGACGCCTGCGTGAGCAGCTCAGGTTTACCCCAACCCTGGGAGAGGGGTGGGTTTCTCCTTGGGATCCATTCCCAAATCACCCCCCCCCCTTGGTTTGGGAGAGCAAAACGCTTCCCGTAAAGGGCTGAGCGGCCGCCAGCTGTCAGCTGTGCCAGATACACACAAGGTGCGTGGGCCGCGTGGATGGAAAAACTGAATTGCAGCTCCGTCCCAGCGCTCATAGGAAACTTGAACAGAGAGAACTGATAGTTTTCTATCAGCTGCCATCCCTTCTATCCTCGAGAAGTAAGATTTTCCATTCCGGCGCTGCTGGAACGCACCGTTGTTTGCTTGGAAACTGCTCTTCTGTTCAGAGAGAAGCCCACCGTGGATCTACACGCGTGCAGCACTCAGAGCACATGGCACAGCTCTATCTACAGAGCCCTCGGAGCACTATCTGCTCCTCTCCTTGCATCAGAATGCCGAGGAGCGGGCTGGGTCCAACCAGTTTTGGCTTCCTCCCTATGGAGAAGGACCCAAACTCAGCAAGACATTCAGTGCAGCCAAGCTCTTGCAAAACACTCCTCCATAAACGCAAACAGAAGAGCTGCGAGCCTCCCTTTACCCTCCAATGCTCCCCCTCCACCTCCCCAGCAGCAGGTGCTCAGCAGGGCTGCTCCTCACCCATCTCCCTGCAGGAAGATGCCCCACGGGGGAGTGCAGCCCCCCAGCCCTACTCACGTGCCAAGCGTGCCCGCCCGGTGCTGCCACACACAGCACATGGCCACCGCTCCTGCTGCAGGAGATGGCCTCACCTGGGAGCAGCGGGACTGCACGCAGGGTGCATGGTCTGCACTCACCCAGCTCCCGCCTGCCCTTAAATATCCCCTTCTGATCCCCTTCTTCCCCTCCCTCAGCCCACTCTCAGCACCAGATCCTCGGCCCGGTGCACAAGCGGGGGCTAATCTGTCGTCTAGCTGCCGGCTAATCAGATAAGTTTAGGGCAGAAAGTCTTTCTAGACAGAGGTACTTTCCGCGGGCGTCTGGCTCCAGATTTTCACATGGTGAAGCAGACTGGAGAGGTTCTCCAACCTGCTGCTCCCCCCGGCATCCTCAGGGATGCTCAAATCCCAAAGCTGCTGAGCACCCGGTGCATCTTCCTCCGCTAAGCCCGCACGGATTGCTCCTTATGCAAGCAGGAGGCTCATGACTTAAACGAGCCCACAGGTGAGTGGGAAGCCCGTTTCTCCTTTGCCAAGCACTTTTGGGTCTTATCCTCTTTTAGCTGCCACCTTTAAGATGCATTATGCAAATGTTTTGGTGTCTTAAGTCATTTAGGGGATTAATGTGAAGTGATTATCAGTTCTTTTTAATCACGCCAATCAATAACTGGATGTCAGGGACAGAGGACAAATGCAGATAAACGCTGCCATCAGCACAACGCTCGGGAAGGGGTGGAGGAGAGGAGTGCAGGGGGAGAGAAAAATAGGATCGTGACATCTTTGCAATGGCAGAGCATCCTGCATCCCAATGAGCACCTCTCACAGCCAAACACACCAACCTATTCCTTCCTGTAGAAGGAATGGGCTTCTGCCTACACTGAAACGCAGCTGCCTTCTACAGGGGAGGAAACTGCATCAAATCTTAAGCTTTTATCCCCAAAAGCCACCTATGTTTTTAGGAGGTGTCCCATCACATTTATCAACACCCCAGCACTGGCAGGGACACCTAAAAGACCTGACCCATGCCCAAGCAGGGCTGATGGCCATCCCTAAAATGCAGCTTTGCCCAATGGCTTTGCAGGACACAAAGCTGACACGAAGGTGACATTGAAGGAAAAGGGACACAGAGCAGAGCACGTAGGATCAGACAGCTTTTAGCACATTGCACCATCCCCAGGAGCAGCTCTGCAGCACTCGGGTGTGTGCTGGGAGCTCACTCTGCCATCCCCTGCCTGTTCGAGACAGAAAACTTGCAGCATTTTCACCAGCAATCCTCTTAGACCTCCAATGAGCAAAGCCCAACTGACTGCTTTTATCCCAACATCTTTTAAAAAGAAAATTAAGTAACAACACAAAAAAAGCCAACCTTGAGGAAGCTTAACTTGGAACTGAATCTCAGTCCTCCAGGTGCCCCCTCTGTCCCCCTGCAGCCAACAGAGCATCCTCCCAGTCAGTCCTGCCCTACACCAACCCATCCCCACCACCACCAGCCCTACACCACCAGCTCCACTTGCCCTAAAACCCCCCAAAAACGGTGTTTCTCAACCAAAAGCAGCTCCTGGAAAAATTCCCCCCAGCACTCACCTCTGCCAAAAGCCAACTGCACACTGCCCAACCACCAGCACTGATGCACAGTGAGCAGCACCTGGGCAGGGCTGGCCCACAGCTGGTCCTATCACCCAGCTGACCAATGCTGGCCCTAGGGCAGCTCCCTCTGGCCAGCTGGGCCCTGATTGCTCCGTCCTGCTCACCCTGGCTGCTGGTAATTTGTGCTCACATCTTTGCCTTTATGGCTGGACTTGGTGATCTCGGTGGTCTCTTCCAACCTCCACCCCAGAATCACACCATCACAGACCCATTCAGGCTGGAAAAGACCACCAAGATCCCCATATGCAACGCCCACCCTGCCACAGTGAGCCTCTGTGTCACATCCCCACAGTTCCTGAGCAGCCCCAGGGATGGTGACAGCCCTGCAAGCAGACTCACTCACTGCAACCTTGTTGTGCACAGAACAGAGATGCAGCCAGCACAGGACTGAAGACCCTTCTCTTGCAGGGAACGCAATCCAGTTTGCAGGACACTAACATCCAAAACCAGGGATGACAACAGATAGCAGCACCTGAAACCTGGCTGCTTGTCCTGGCAAGCATTAAAGCACCACAAGACCAGCAACCGAAGCTCCCTGGAAGGAAAAATGAAACGGCTGGGAGAGCATCACCCCTACAGCTCCACTCCAGCACAGCCCCACAGGCAGGAGCCCCACTGAGGGGATTGCAAAGAGCCACGTGGAGGATTTCCCCATCTGTACAGAAGGCTGTAATCCCCCCCCCCCCCCCAGGTGCTCACTTGCAGCCCAGCAGGGCACAGGGCTCTGCTCTCCTTTGTCTCGCTGCCTGGTGCTGCCGACGCAGGCTCCCCCCACCCATGCACAAACACACATGCACACACAATCAGATTAAAGGTCTGATCCCTTCCAGTAGCATAATATTATATTTTAAAAACCGGATTAGAGAAGGGGGGCTTGAGCAAGATACACATCTCCCGAAAGGTCAAGGAGGAGACAAACAGCCTTCTGTGGGGCTGCAGGTTGCCATGGCAATACTGGGTTTGCATGGGGTTTGGGTAATTAATGCTTTAGGGCCGTGGTGACACAGGTGTTTGTGAGCAGCAGAGGTGCACGCCCTGAGCCTGGGCACTTCAGCTCCCAGAGCACTGCTGCAGGGAGAGGCTCTGGGCTCGCTGGGACGTGGCTCAGTGATGCTGACAGCTTCATAACCCCCCCATTCCTGGATGATGGGAGCTCTGATCTGCAGGTATTCCTGCTGTTTTAGCTTTGCAATGCACTCCTAGCACGAGCAGCCTCGAGTCCACAACTGAGCTTCACCCAGCCCTGCATCTGAGCAGTGAACCCAGCCTAGCTGAACTCCTTTTGTCACTTCCAATCACAGCTGACGCGCTGCTCCCTATCTGAACCCATCGTCCTGGTTCTGTGAGCAGCTGCACAGAGCAGGATACGTTCAGGAAGGGTGGGGGTGGGAAAGGGGCAAAAAGAAGCGAGTGCTGATGGCTGAGGAAGGAATGGGATGCTGTGCTCACCAGGCTGTCCCTCCTGCTATAGAGCTAAGGGACAGGCAGCAGTGCTGGGGACATCTCTAAGGCCAACTCTGGCCAACCACGTGGTGCAGAGCTCACACTGAACTAAACCTGAAGTCACTGTCGGTGTCTCAGTGATGTTTACTGCTGTGCTCTGCAGAGCCTCAGAAGGGAACCATCCCACCAAACATACTGTATGCCATGCCTCTGCCTATTCTCCACTGCAAAGAACACCCCAGGCTGCTGCAAGCTGCCATCCCACGGGAACCCTGGCCTGCCACCAGGCTCTGCCTCGCTGACATGAAGGAGAAGGGGTTGGGTAATTACAAAAGCTTGGGCAGTTTCCAAATCCTAATGAATGGGAGCAGCAGATCCCCCCTCCAGGAGCGCAGGGAAGCGGTGATGAAGGCTCTCCCTGCCCAGAAGCTCGCCGTGCATCACAGGGAAACGCAGCACTGAGACACGCTGCCAACTAATGGCTGCAAAAATTACCTCTGGAGGAAAAGAAACCGCCGCTAATGCTCTCTGCGAAGGCTCTGGCTGCTGTGCTATGCTTAATGGCACTGCCTGGCCCTCCGTCTCCCCAGCACGGGTGGCTCTGATGAGGCTCTGTAATGGCACAGTAATGGGGCACCAGCAGTCACTCGATAGCTGCAGTGCTTCCAGGAACAGGCACTCATGAGGCTGTCAGAGCAGCTGCCTGCATGGGGAGGTGCTCCCCACGGAGCCCCAGTGCAAACAGGGAAGGATGAGTCTATCAGATTTGCTATGCGCAGCCATCCTCGTGGGGGTACCAATGGATCAGGAGGAGGCTGAGGGTACCAGGCATGCCACTAGCCTCTGTGAGTGACTTCTGGGAACATCAGGGTTGGGTGGTTGGTTGTTTTGAGCAACACCTGCAACAGAACCCTCTGCCCAGCAGTGCTTGTGAAGTTAAGCAGGGGAGCAGGCAAGGAATGGGGGGTACCCACAGCACCCTGGGGATGCTCAGCTGCTTCTGAGCCGCATTCGGGCTGGGAGCGACGCCTGCTAAATGTGTTTTACTTACAGAGATGAGCGGCGGCTGCATCTTTAACAAGGAGAAGGATGGGGAGACTAATGGATGGAGACAATTAACCAAAAGATAAATCAGTGT